AATATCTTATGTTTCACTGAGTCGTGGCTGAACGAAGACATGAATAACATACAGCTGGCAGGTTATACACTGTATCGGCAGGATAGAACAGCAGCCTCTGGTAAGACAAGGGGTGGCGGTTTATGTATATTTGTAAACAACAGCTGGTGCACGATATCGAAGGAAGTCTCAAGGTTTTGCTCGCCTGAGGTAGAGTATCTCATGATAAGCTGTAGACCACACTATCTACCAAGAGTTTTCATCTATATTCTTCGTAGCTGTCTATTTACCACCACAAACTGATGCTGGTACTAAGACCGCACTCAATGAACTGTATAAGGCCCATAAGCAAACAGGAAAACGCTCATCCAGAGGCGACGCTCCTAGTGGCCGGGGACTTTAATGCAGGGAAACTTAAATCAGTTTTACCTCATTTCTACCAGCATGGTAAATGTGCAACCAGAGGGGGAAAAAAACTCTAGACCACCTTTACTCCACACACAGATTGGCCGGGATAAAAAGCTCTCCCTCGCCCTCCATTTGGCAAATCTGACCATAATTCTATCCTCCTGATTCCTGCTTACATGCAAAAACTAAAGCAGGAAGCACCAGTGATGAAGCAGATGCTAAGCTACAGGATTGTTTTGCTAGCACAGACTGGAATATGTTCTGGGATTCTTCCGATGGCAATTGAGGAGTACACCACATCAGTCACTGGCTTCATCAATAAGTGCATCGATGACGTCATCCCCACAGTGACTGTACATACATACCTCAACCAGAAGCCATGGATTACAGTCAACATCCGCACTGAGCAAAGGGTAGAGCTGCCACTTTCAAGGAGCGGGACTCTAACCCGGAAGCTAATAGGAAATCCCGCAATGCCCTCCAACGAACCATCAAACAGGCAAAGCGTCAATACAGGACTATGATCTAATCGTACTACACCGGCTTCGACGCTCGTCAGATGTGGCAGGGCTTGCAAACTATTACAGACTACAAAGGGAAGGACAGCCGCGAACTGCCCAGTGACACGAGCCTACCAGACAAGCTAAATTACTTCTATGCTATCTTCAATTACTTAACTCCAACACCATCATTTAAGTTTGCCGATGACACAACAGTGGTAGGCCTGTTCACGACAACGGCGAGACAGCCTATAGGGAGGAGGTCAGGAAAACAACCTCTCCCCCAACGTGATCAAGACAAAGGAGGTGATTGTGGACTACAGGAAAAAGAAGAGGACCGAGCACCACCCCATTCTCATTAACGGGGCTGTAGTGGAACAGGTTGAGAGCTTCAAGTTCCTAGGTGTCCACATCACCAACAAACTAACATGGTCCAAGCACACCAAGACAGTTGTGAAGAGGGCATGACAAAACCTATTCCTCCTCAAGAGACTGAAAAGATTTGGCATGGGTCCTCAGATCCTCAAAAGGTTCTACAGCTGCACCATCAAGAGCATCCTGACTGGTTGCATCACTGCCTGGTATGGCAACTGCTCGGCCTCCGACCGCAAGGCACTACAGAGGGTAGTGCGTACGGCCCAGTACATCACTGGGGCCAAGCTTCCTGACATCCAGGACCTCTATACCAGGCGGTGTCAGAGGAAGGCCCTCAAAATTGTCAAAGACTCGAGCCACCCATAAGACTCCTGAACATCTAATCAAATGGCTACCCAGACTATTTGCATTGCCCCCCCCCCCACCCCTCTTTTAAGCTGCTGCTACTCTCTGTTTATTATCTATGCATAGTCACTTTAATAACTCTACCTACATGTACATATTACCTCAATTACCTCGACTAACCAGTGCCCCCACACATTGACTCTGTACCGATACCCCTTGTATATAGCCTCGCTATTGTTATTTTTACTGCTGCTCTTTAATTATTTGTTACTTTTATTTCATATTATTTTATATTGTATTTTTTATTTTATTTTTTCTTAAAACTGCACTGTTCTATTCGGCGCATGTGACATAACATTTTATTTTATTTGTAGAAAGACTTTGATGCAACGAATTGAAAGGGAATTTGAATCCATGAAAGAAGCTCTCTCCACCAAACTCCAGAGCGTAAAGTCAGTCTGTACAACAGCAGACATCTGGTCTGCCCATAACAGAAGCTTCTTCGGCATTACATGGCACTGAATCGAGGAGGACACCTTGGAGAGGAAGTCAGCTGCTTTAGCTTGTGCGAGACTGATAGGACGTCATACCTACGATGTGATTGCTGCCAAGTTAAGTGAAATAAATACATGCAGACTTTAAAATTCAGCACAAAGTGAGGGCCACAGTGACAGACAGTGGAAGCAACTTTGTAAAGGCATTCCGGGAGTTCAGTGGAAATGAAGAGGAGCCAGATGGGACGGATGATGGAGTGAGGTTTGATGTGGGTGCCGTTCTTGAGGAGATTGAGCAAGAACCAAACGTTTTTCTCCTTCCACATCAACGTTGTGAGGCACACGAAAATTGTACAGAAGTGCAACGTCTAAATGTTCCAGCATTTGGAACAAAGCACACAGGTCCATATTAGCTTCAGAGGCAATAGAGGACATTGCAAGCATGAAAGTAACTGTGCCATGTGTGACAAGATGGAGCTCAGAGTACCGTGCCATCTCCAAACTCATAGCCCTCACAGATGACCAGCTGGGGCAAATCTGTGAAGATCTGGGTGTTAGCAGCAAACTACATCCTTGTGAGATTGCTTTTCTCAAGGAGTACAATACAGTCCTACAGTCATTCTCTATTGATCTTCTTCAGGGAGAGAATAAGTGTTTTCTTGGCTTTCTTATCCCAACAATCCTAAACTTGAAGTCTAAGCTCTCAGAGAAAATGCCTCTTGCGACATTCTCTGCACACATCATCACTGCGGTCATTGAGGCTATAGAACGCCGGTTTTGGACCTATGCTAAGCAGCCATGAAGCAAAAATGGCAACTGCTACTGTGCCAAGGTTTTGACTGTGTTCGCTCAACCCTGGAAAGAGAGAGGAGATGCAGAGCACATTAGTTCAGTGCCCCAGTTGAGTGCCTTTTCAGCTATGGTGGAAACCTGTTTACCCCTCAGCGAAACAGGATGTCTGATGCTCATCTAGAGTATGTCCTCTTGCTGTGATACAACAGCAATTTCTGCCTTTAATCATCTGAGTAGGCTAGCTTCAGAATAGGCCTACTGCAATGCCATGTCTGATATGTGGTTTTATTGCACCTAGCTGCACTTTTTTTGCTTAAACTTAAAAAACTACTTGGTGGACTAAATGTGTGATTTACACTGCATGTTGTCAAAAATAAATAAAAACGTTTTTTAAATATTTATATTTCTCATTTTAGTCATTTAGCAGACGCTCTTATCCAGAGCGACTTACACTAGTGAGTGCATGCATTTTCATACTTTTTTGTACTGGTGTCCCGTGGGATAAGTGTTTAGCACAATCCATGTTGCTGTGTTACTTACGCCCTTACTTATACCTGGTTTTAACATGTATCCTTTGTCCTGCACATTGTGTTTGTGCCCACATTTTTAGACAGGTGTACAGGATTAAAAGTCGCATTGTAGTCTGACTGTGATCAGATCTTATAGGTGTAAATGGACAAGATCAGGATGAAGGATGCATGTTAGAGGCAGGGATACAGGGCTTCAATAAATTTTTGTCACAATGTTTTGTGATGTGTTCTAATGTGGCTCTGCTTTGTGGCTCAAAAATCCTGCAATAAATGTTGTGAAATTGTTGGTAATACTCTTTTTTTTAAATTTATTTTAACGTGTTTTACGAGTGAAGTAATCCAAAATTAACTGAAAGTAATCAGATTATGTTACTGAGTTTAGGTAATCCAAAAGTTACGTTACTGATTACAATTTTAGACGGGTAGCTAGTAACTGTAACGGATTACATTTAAAAAGTAACCTACCCAACCCTGGTCCAAACCCAACAAGCAGGTCCCAGCTCCAACATCTTCTAGCACTGCAATTTGCACACTGATTAGGCCAACACAACAACTGATTGTCCTGTCAGCGGTTGGAATTCCAATCTTCTATCTCAGATGCCCCACCATGACCTCTTTATGAGTGACCTTTAACCCTGAGGTCAGTGGCTATCTATTATCAGCCTTTAGACTTGGGATTCCCCCAAATGTTTGCCCTTTACCACCTAACCCCACTGACCTCAGACATAAGTGAAACTGTTTCTTACAAGGCAGGGTATTTTGGCTATTTCGGGAAACACAGACAGGTGCCTGAGGTCCCTTCCCTTGTCTCTCTCAAAGTGAAAGCCCCCCGCTGCCACTTGCCATCCTGACCTACAGAGACCACACACTGAGGAAACGCACGAACACATGGACATACTTGACACACACACGGGTAAGTCTACGTCAGAGAAAAGGAAATGGTCTGCCTCGTCTATAGGGACTGGTTGTGGATGTTTGTGGTAATTCTGCCTGCCCCCCTGACTTCTGTTATGGGTTGGTCTTAGCTAGTCAGGGCTTCATTCCTGTCCTTCTGTCTCAACAGGTAGCCACACTTCCACTACCTCATTCTTTACCTTCTAATAGTATTCTCAAAGGTTTCCTCTAGCTACCAAACACATGATACCAGCAAGACCCAAACTGTTAGGCTACAACAGTTAGCCCATCTTCTCCATAAAAGAGACTTCTTTGTTCGAAAACATGAATGGTGTTTGTTTGTGAAAGGTTGACCAAATATATCCCCTGTTCTTCTTGTTTGGTTCGAAGGTTCATTGGCTTTCCATGGGCTCGCCAATGCTTAGCCTATTTAATGGCTTGGGCCAAACTTGAGTGAGTCTGTTTTGTCCAATTTTTACCTGCAAAACTAGTCACTTTAAGACAAGTTCTCCCAGAGTAGAGGCAGTCAGATCAGGCTGTAGCACCCAGATTTCTGTCATGTAGTGTCAAACATCCTGAATGAGCTGCTGCCTGGTTGTGTTTGGAGGCCATGTTTGTTGCCTTCACTTCCAGCAGAACATTTGTCATAATGTTGCAGACTGTTGCCTTTTTCTATCCTGTAGGACCGGTCTGTCCCGTTGCTGGAGCTGTGCTTCCGCTGTTCATGTGTGTGTGTATCTATCCCTGTGCATGTGTGTGAGGGGAATGTGTGTTGTCACTCTGTCCTCAGCCCCAGTCGACCCAGCCTGGTCCTACCCTACCCTGCCCCGCCTGGTGATGGTGTGTCAGTTTCAGTCACTGACTCTGCCTCTGCCCAAAGATTAGGCTTGGAGCAGGGAGGGGGAGAAGACGAAGGGCTTCTGCTGCCACCGTTGTGTGCTTATGTGTGTGTGTGAGAGTTGTGTTTGCCGTGTTGTCAGAGGCTACCCTCTAACTCAGCTTTTCATTTATCCTGCGCTCGTACACCGACAGATTGTCACAGAGGAGCATAATACTTGTTATGCAATGATGTTATTGTTTGTTGGCCTGCAAACCCTCTCTATCGTCCCTTCATCATAACAGTGTGTTTTTACATAGTGTCAGTGTGTTGTGTGTTTGTGTTCATCATGGGCTATCATGCTCACGTTGCTACGGATCCTGCCTGCAGTAACTGGTCCCATGAGCACCTCCAGAACATCAGAACACTGGTCTCTTACACACTGTTTGCCTAGAAACACCAAACTAGCAGAACATTGATGTCCCATGGTTTGGGCCTGATACATAAAAAAAGATATAGCGTTTATATGAATCTCTATGGCCTCTCTCTGAAACCGCTACCTCTGCCTCCAGCACCCATCTCTCTACTAAATTATGTGAAATGGAGGAGGTGTGGTGAATGTAACTGGTGGATGGTAGTGACCTGTCTAACAGGCTAGTGTTTGTTCTGTAGGGATGTTCTAGGGATGGTTGTACAGCCTCAGGCAGGAGCAGGGATGTGGCTTTTACTAGCTGCAGTAGTGTGGATGTGTGGAGAGGCACAGAGCCAGGGCTAAAGCCTCTCTGCACACACGCAGATACACACCGCTTATCTGGAAGCCCCTGTCCCATGTAATATCTCATCTCGATCTGAGATGTGACCACAACACAGCACTGGGGAATGGCTGAGTCTAGTGCATATGCATATAGGGCCTAAGCATTAAGAAGACACATTGGAGCTTAAGTTCAAGCAGAACCGTCAACCTTTAGATAAGACTTCTATGTCCAGTAAACAATCAATACTAGAGCTATAGCCGTAGTATCTCTCTGTAGTGCTGCATTCAGCAGAGGGAGGATATGATAGGTAGGCTACTCAGCTAGGATTCTATATAGCTGGAGGAGGAGGCTCTTATTTCACTGTTTTCACTTCAGGAATTCAAGCATTAACAGGAGGAGGCAGGGAGCATCGTATGTGTGAAGTGGACTGGAAATACTGCCGTCTGTGTGCATTTTCCTATCTGTGTGTGTTTTCCTTAATTTTTTTGTCATTTAGCAGACACTCTTATCCAGAGCGACTTACAGGAGCAATTAGGGTTAAGTGCCTTGCTCAAGGGCACATCAGCAGATTTTTCACCTAGTCGGCTCAGGGATTAGAACCAGCGACCTTTCGGTTACTGGCACAACGCTCTTAACCACTAAGCTACCTGCTGTCTGGTCTGTCTGTCTGTCTGGTCTGTCCGTCGGTCTGTCGGTCTGTCGGTCTGTCTGTCTGTCTGTCGTGTGTTTATATGTTTTGTTAATGCGTGTTTACTAGTTTTTCCTTGACTCTGCTTTAGGACTGCTCTCCCTCAGGCTCCTGAGTACTGCCTGCTGACTAGCCTAGCTATCGCTGAGTCACTGTGCTGGGCTGCTGGGAACAACACACACAGTAGCTGTAGGATAATATTATCAGCATCACTCACTACAGCCCCCGGCCCCAAGCACTGGTCTAGGATCAGACCAGTCAACCCTCAGCTCTGACTCCAACCAGGGTTGTGCTAAGAACACAAAACTGATCCAGAATCAGCTGATAAATATTTGATGTGAGGGAGGGAAGGAGGGTCAGGCATCCAGAGTAATGACAGGGTGCTATGTGTTAGGTAACTACCATGTAGCTCTGCCTCTAGGCTCTGTCTGTCTGGAAAGGGACAGGTTGTCGAACTGGCTGGCTGTCCTCTCCTCTCCTCCAGCCATTCAACCACTCAGCCCAGCTGTTTCCCTGACTCATGGAAAATCACTGCAGTGAGAGCCCACAGTGTGTGTGGGGTGGGAGGGGGGTACGTGCGTATGAATCTGCATTACGTCCTGTCTGATCTAATGTCCTTCCTACTGTCTCAGCAGACACTGTGTGTGTGTGTGTGTGTAGTGTGTGTGCGTGCGTGCGTGTGTGTGTAGTGTGTAGTGTGTCAAGCCACTGGAAGTAAAATAAAAGAGAATGGGCTTTGCCTGGTCCAGCCACATCAGAGGAGAGTGGAGGGGGAATCCTTATTTTCCATGACTCACAGGGATGAATAGCAGACATGTTTGAGTGAATGAGATGTCATTAAGTGTCCATTGTAATACAGATGGCTGATGGATTTTGGCAGGAGAGGAAACCACCCATCTCCCTCTACTAATGGAGAATACATCTAGCTGGCTATACCAAGCTAGCACTACTGGCTGGGGCCGCTTGCGTTGTGTGGCATGTCTTCATGCTATTAGGATGGGCATGGACTCCTCTGATGTCCCCTTCCTTGTTTATCTCTGACATATAAAGATCTACTGTGTGTAGGACTGTAGGTGCTGCTTGTCATATAATTGTATGAGTCATTTGTCCTCTTATCCAGTTGATGGCAGTGATGCCAACTCTGTGTTGTTGTTTTTACCGCACTGCTTTGCTTTATCTTGGCCAGGTCGCAGTTGTAAATGAGAACTTGTTCTCAACTGGCTTACCTGGTTAAATAAAGGTGAAATAAATAAAATAAAATGCCACTGTATGCTAGAGATGGCTACAGCATACAGTGGTGGAGAGAGAGCTGCAAGTTTAATGGGGACGACGGTCCCACAGGGACTGAGATGACCTTATTTTACCAGTGTGTCATCAGATAGGATGGCCACCAGCCTCAATATATCGTGTAGCATATTTCTCTGGGTGGGGATCCATACTCTGCTCCTTGCTAGTTAGCCAAGGTGGGACAGACAGGTCTGGGAATTGTCTAATTGTATTGTAGGTCAGAATTGATTTGGGCTGGCGGGAGAGGGGAGAGTGTACATTCTGCTCCTATTCTGTCTTTATTCTTCATCCCCACCTCCTGTGAACTTTTAAAACAAACAAGAGAAATAAAATAAATAGGGTAAAGCAAATTAACCTGAATGCAGGGAAAGTAGAACAATAGTCCCAGTCAGTCTGCCAACTTGTCTCAGAACATCAACATCCTCCTGGTGAAAGTCATTGAGAGGGTAAATAACAGAGAAGGCCATGTTTAAATGAAGTGTAGAGCATTCATGATGATGGAACAAATCCCTTCTATGTTTACCAGCCCTGAGCCAGGGGGAGACTGGGGGGAGACAGGAGGGGGGAGGGGGTAGCCATCTGTCTGTCTGCAGGGACCAGGGAGTAGGAGGGGTCTGTCTCTCAAACTCAGGGTGGAGACTAGAGAGAGGACGCACACACGCTCATACACATACACACGGGGCGGCAGGTAGCTTAGTGGGTAAGAGCGTTGTGCCAGTAACTGAAAGGTCGCTGGTTCTAATCCCCGAGCCGACTAGGTGAAAAATCTGTCGATGTGCCCTTAAGCAAGGCACTTAACCCTAATTGCTCCTGTAAGTCGCTCTGGATAAGAGCGTCTGCTAAATGACTAAAATGTAAATGTAAATGTACACGCTCATACACTCATACCCACACACACTACCAACAGGCAGGAAGGGGGCACTGCAGCAGCCATCCTTCATCTGCCTCTCCCCATGATGACCCTGCCTCCCGGCACTATTGGCAGACATCCAAGTCTGACATTGTGTGTGTCTGTGTGTGTAGATGAATACAGGGAGAGTGTGTGTGTGTGTGTGTGTGTGCGTGTGTGTGTGTGCATGTGAGTGTAATCATACGCTTATGACAGCAATGGGGTAAGCAGATTCTGGGGTGAGTAGTTTCTGTCCATAGAGGGAATCTAAATTCTGCTCTGAGAAGAGACTGAATGTGGTTGAAATCAGAGATGCAGTTTGGGGCTCTCTTAAAGGTCTGACTCTCTGTACTGTTGTCCTCCCCTCTGGCAGTCCAGTTTTAGTTCTCTCCTCCAGGCCTTTTGTTTCAGGCTTGTCATCAGTATAATTACTGTAATTCCGTTTTGTCTGCGTCTGAGAACAAAGGATCAGGATTATGCCCCCAGAGCAGACATGCCTGCTGCTGGTAGTGTTCAAGTAAACCTTAACCAGTCTCTAGCCTAAATTAAGGAAAGGATATCTGTTAAAGTTGTGCAGCATAAGGAAACTGACTGTTTACTGTTATATTTGATAACATGGACCAGGGTTCCCCAATATTTGTTGTGTTTTAATTTTATTATTGGACATAAAAGACTAAAAACACCAGTAAATCAGCTCCAAATGATTTACATTTTAAAAATATTTTCCTAATTATTCCCACGCATAATAAAGAGATATTATTGTATACAAATGTAAGCTAGGTTGAAAATGATTGTTTTAGTCTAAATCTGTTTGGGCTTCTTGTGCTCAATTTGCAGTCTAGAAATTATTTATAATTAAATTCCGGCCCCCTGACCATCTGCTGAATAAAAATATAATCCCATGGCTGAATGTAGTTGATGATCCCTGTTTCTGTATTGATGGCTGGTACATTCCACATACCAGTAGATGGCAGTGTTCTTCAACACAGTTCAGATCTTTCTCAGTGTGACATGTTATTTACAAGATTAGGTTCCAAAAATTGCACCATGGACTGAGCAAGCTCAGGTGATGCTTATGTGTCGTTATGGTGTTAGCAGGGCTACTCTCACTAGACGTTCATTGAGCAGCTCTCTCACCCCATGACAAGGAAAGTTAAATAAATTGGGGGGGCAGTGCACTTAGCTTACATCAGCCATGGTTTTTCCCATGGTGGGTGGCAATTTTTTAAATGATTTTTCAATGGCAGTGCTGTCCTAAAGTTTAATAGGTCAACATTACAAAAGTTTCAGAGCGGCAGCATCATCCATTGTCCTTTTATGAGCAGATAAAGTGAGAATATTTCAGTTTACCCACAATCCTTTGCAACAAGCATTTGCATATTGAACTCAATCAGAAGGAAAAGGGTTTTAGGATAATAATTTTGGTAAAAAATGATGATGTTATTGTAATTTCGATGTAGTTTATTTCATATTTTGTATTTTTATATTTATTCAAAATTCCCTCCTTTTGTGTTTTCCAGGTGGCTTTGCTAGGAATAGACCTTTTATCTGCCTTAGTGACACGGTTACAGGACCGATTTAGGAACCATGTGGGAACAGGTAAGATTGTGTAATTTTATTATCTTAAAAAAGATAACTTTCTTCATGGTTAAATTAGTTCAAATAAAAATAGGTTTAGGTTTCTAGACAAAATGTCTGACAAAAAAACACTGAATTGGATTCCTGCATAGACTAGGCTATTGAGCTGCATTGGATTTTAACTCCTCGTTCACACCTTTAGATAACAATGCTACCTCTTCCCTGTCTTCTCTTCTCTCCTCTGTGTCTCCATCTCTCTCTCCTGTGTCTCCAGTACTGGCCAGTCTGATAGATCGTCTGGGTGATTCCAAAGACCAAGTCAGAGACCAAGATCAAATCCTGCTGCTGAAAATCATGGAGCAGGCTGCCTCCCCACAGGTACGTACACACATACACACACACACACACACACACACACACACACACACAGCCTTCCCACAAGTGGAGCTTTCCTGGGCTAACCTGTACACACAGACGAGCTATTGACAAACCAGGATCATAGGATTACCCAGCTTTCTCGTGGTGATACTACAGTACTGTCAAAGGTCAATCCCACAATCTCAAATTAATACATTCCTAGTTTATTGATTTCTGAATCCCTAGTACCCTTTGATTCCTGACTCGATTGTATGTTAATTTATATGATCCTGATCCATGATAAAAAAAGTGATTGATTGTTGACCTGGTACAAATATCATGTACTCTCCTCCCCAGTACGTGTGGGACAGAATGCTGGGAGGCTTCAAACACAAGAACAACAGGACCAGAGAGGGAGTGTGCCTTTGTCTCATCTCAACTCTCAACATGTAAGACTGCCTGGCCTCTCAATCACACATCTTTAAATCTGTCTTTCCTTACTATACAACGGAAGGGTATTAGAGCTGTCAGCTGATTTATTTTAACATTGCTAATGTTTTTTATCATTAGTGCGTAATGGACAGGGTAGAATTCAATATTCATTTTTAGATTTCTGGTTTCTAATACTCTGGTAGCAATGGACATTTTACTAACTGCCAAGAGAATGGATGAGCCTAGATTTGATTTAAAATCTGACAATATTATCTGATGTGTATCATAGTGAATTATACAATTATATTATGGTAAGGTCTTTATTGTCAGGAGTCTTTATTTTTTTGTGATGCTATAGCTAATGCTTACCTATGATGTCATTGACATCCTGTCTTTTTATTTTTAATTTTGTTTTTAAAAAATGTTTAGGGGGTAGATCAGCTTTAATATTGCAGATAGATTGTAACATCCATCAATGTAATTGTCTGCATCACTTCCAATCCCCCATCCTCTGTCTTTGTTCTTCCAGGTACGGAGCCCAAGGCTTAACCCTCAGTAAAATAGTCCCTCACATATGTAATCTTCTAGGAGATCCCACCAGTCAGGTATGTACAGCCTGTTTGTGTCCCACTCTGTTTGCTGTGTCATGAATGAGTTTATTACGTTGCTGGCCAGGGAGAGAGAGAGCTCTAGCACAGACAAAGGAGTCGACTGCAGCAGCATTTTACCATAGGGACATGGAGCCCCCTAGTGGCTGTACAGAGATGTACAACCACAACATAACAGTGCCATCTGCTGGTGGAGGCTGGCGTAGTGTTTCTCTACACAAACTGTGTTTTAAGAGCAGTAAACATATCAAACTAGTAGTCTAAGAACGCTAAAATGACCTTTGAACGTTACCCCTTGTTGTCCTCAGGTGAGAGACGCAGCTATGGGCTGCCTAGTGGAGATCTACAGACACGTGGGGGAAAGGGTGAGGATGGACCTTAGCAAGAAGGGCCTACCACAGTCACGGTACGATGGACCTTCTACCTCTGTCTGTCTGTCTGTCTGTCTGTCTGTCTGTCTGTCTGTCTGTCTGTCTGTCTGTCTGTTTCTCCTCTCTCTCTCTCTCTCTCTCTCTCTCACTCTCTCACTCTCCCTCTCTCGCATTCTCCCCCCTCACTATTCATACTTCTTTCTCCCTCTTCCTCCCCCTCTCTTACTGTACCGAGTGTGTAAATGGGTCAGGTATAGTGCTGATTCAGCAGCCTTCCCAGCACAAGGCTGTGTATTAGGAAGTTAGGTTGTGATCATAGTGAAAAACACAGAAGTAGAATAATGCAATTCTGTTTCTTTGGTATAAAGGCCTATACCATTACCATTTTGTATATGCAGAATCTTTCATATTGAAGTGCTTATTGTACACTTTCTCTGAACAGCCTACATAACACTGTAGACCAGAACACTGTAGACCAGAACACTGTAGACCAGAACAATGTGAAAGAGGTGTTGGTCTCATGTAAAGGAAACCACCTAGGCTAAATTATCTGTTAATGTCAAGTGTTAGATGTGTTTCATTCAAGCTTACTGTATAACACTGACAATGCAGAATCTTTAAATCAAAAGTGAATGTCTCACTTTTCTGCAGTGTCTCCCTGAAAACTGATAATTTCAACAGGCCATTAGTCCCTAGTGTCCAGCTATCCACATAAAGCCTCATAGCCTCTGGCAGCCTCAGACCATAACCCCAGAATGGCTGTCTAGTGTCTTCTATCAGTGGTCATAATCTACTGATCGCTCTCATCCAGCTCTGCCCTGGCCTGCAGTGTTTAATAAAGAACACTCCACCATAACCACTAGCTAGCTAGCTAGCTGCCCTTTCACTGTGGCTGTCAGACCTCCAATTACCTTTCCCCTGTGAGAAGTGAAGCACCATGGGTAATATATAACGTTACCGCTGCCGCACCAGCCTGCCTGTGTCTGTGGAGTGGATGTAGGGGAGGGATTGAGTACATGGTAGCCAGACGTCAGTCTTTATTGAATTAATCCATACACCAATACACTTGTTATTGGATTAGACCGTCCGCTGTACTGTGATGCCTCATTGGAGAACAGCTGCTGAGGAGAGCTTGGACGCAGGCCTGCGATAGGCTAATCTTGGCCACAGAGGCTCTTGGGTTGCCCTTGAAGTCTCTCAGTGATATGATACTAAGTGATACCACAGTATTTAATCATGATGGTAGTGGGAGTGACCGGGACATTTTTGATGACTCAGCCTGGCCTCCAGCTAAGTGCCTGCATTGTTGAGTGGGGAAGGGAAGCAGATTGATTCATTCCCATTTGTCTCTGTGGTTTGAGAATTAAAGGGGAACATCTGTTCTGACCGGGCCATCTGTCTCTCTGATCGTCCCCCCATTTAGTTTACTGCTGCCATTTTTGGTCCTGGTATTGGTTATCCTACCCACTCTTCATTGTTTTTTAGCTGGTATTACAAAACTATTTCCCAGACCCAAAGGGAAGAGATGCCTCTTTATAAAGGGAACTTGAAGGGGCAGGGTTGGAAGAGGGGTAAGCTCATTTGGTCTCCCTTTAGGAGTGCTTCCTCTGCTCATGATTAGATTTGGTCTGGGGTGTAGGCCAGGGAGGGTGCTGAGGCTCTCTAGTGCCCACCTGTGCCCTCCTTCTGTCTATAGGCACACTCTTAATCCAGTTACTCCAAGAGATCCATGAGCAATTAAAATGGAGATTAGTTAGATCCAGTTAAATACTAACTAAGCCTTCATCTCCTTATGTTCAGAGGAGATTCCACCGGCCAAAAACCTTGTATTTACATTTTACATTTTACATTTTAGTCATTTAGCAGACGCTCTTATCCAGAGCGACTTACAGTTAGTGAGTACATACATATATATTTTTTCATACTGGCCCCCCGTGGGATTCGAACCCACAACCCTGCCGTTGCAAGCGCCATGCTCTACCAACTGAGCTTTGAATATGTCAAAGTCTTCCACAGTTAGATAAAATGAATGTGATTTAAATTAACTGTCCAGTAAAAATCTCACTTTTAAAATTGAAATAAGGTTTTACTCTGATGAATATTTTTTATGATCGCTATACGTCCACACCATTCTGTTGGGGTACGACCACACCAGGGTTTCCGTTAGCCGGTAATTGTCGTCTTTTGGCCGTAAAAAAAATATAATGAAAAGCCGATAAATACAATTGTTGCCGGCCAAATTGACCGGGAGAAAAAACAAAGCACTTCAAACAAAAGACAATAAAAAAATGTATACTCGTAAATGATGGTTATGAAATAAACCAAAACTTGTTTCTCAGAATTGTAGCAGGTTGGGAACTCTACAAACAATGTTTCTCTCAGAGAATGAGAACGGTAAATGACTATATGCCTAATTAGTAATACAATGCACTAACAGAAATTAATGTAACCAAATGATGGGTATTAACGGTTACGGTACATTTACTACTTGTGACATATGTAATGTGGAATTTGTAAAAATAAACAATCAAAGAACAAACAATTCACATGAAACAATGAATGCGCAAAATTGGCAGGAGACAGCTGAGTGGATTCTGGAGCGCTGAGTGCATGCATTCTGGAGAGAGACAGGCCTCTGGGCTATTTTCGCCACACACCCCTCCCTTTCTTCTTGTCTCAACATTTTAAATTATACACAAGACACATTAACTTCACACATATTTCAGATGCTTTTAAAAAAAACTGACAGCCTCAACTCAATAATCAGCTAGGCCTTTTGCCACACACGCTGCCTATGAAAGACTACCTCAAATGCCATTTCTCTCCTGTTCTATTGGTTTTCATATCAACTTTCTTTCATTGTCCAGAAGACAAATGCACAATCCTAGTCATTAGCAACCCATCCTAGTTGTTGCATCTTTAAATTCACCCTCTTTCTATGTTTCTAGCTGAGATTTTCATCTCTGTCATATACCGCTTGCATCAGGTGTTCTGTTTAGAAATATGTTTTCCCTTTTGCGAATTGCATTTTGGCAAATGTTTGAAAATTACATTTTATTGGCTGCTTCATTACAGGAGTTGCATGTTTTGTTAAGATTAATTACCGTAATCTAAATGTGATTTCGGTCATGCTGAGAACCGTGGGTGGACGCCCTAATTGCCGAAATTGTCGCAACCCCTATTACTAGTCTGTTCAACCTCTCTTTCATAACGTCTGAGATCCCCAGAGATTGGAAAGCTGCCACGGTCATCCCCCTCTTCAAAGGGGGTGACACTCTAGATCCAAACTGCTACAGACCTATATCCATCCTGCCCTGCCTTTCGAAAGTATTTGAAAGCCAAGTTAACAAACAGATCACCGACCATTTCGAATACCACCGTACCTTCTCCGCTATGCAATCCGGTTTCTGAGCTGGTCATGGGTGCACTTCAGCCACGCTCATGGTCCTAAACGATATTATAACCGCGATTGATAATAGACAGTACTATGCAGCCGTCTTCATCGACCTGGCCAAGGCTTTCGACTCTGTCAACCACCGCATTCTTATTGGCAGACTAAATAGCCTTGGTTTCTCAAATGACTGCCTCGCCTGGTTCACCAACTACTTCTCAGATAGAGTCGGAGGGCCTGTTGTCTGGACCTATGGCAGTCTCTATGGGGGTGCCACAGGGTTCAATTCATGGGCCGACACTTTTCTCTGTGTATATCAATGATGTCGCTCTTGCTGCTGGTGACTCTCAGATCCACCTCTACGCAGACGACACCATTTTGTATACATCTGGCCCTTCATTGGACACTGTGTTAACAAACCTCCAAACGAGCTTTAATGCCATACAACACTCCTTCAGTAGCCTCCAACTGCTCTTAAACACTAGTAAAACTAAATGCATGCTTTTCAATCGAACGCTGCTGGCACCCGCCCACCCGACTAGAATCACCACTCTTGACGGGTCTGACCTAGAGTATGTGGACAACTACAAATACCTAGGTGTCTGGTTAGACTGTAAACTCTCCTTCCAGACTCACATAAAGAATCTCCAATCCAAAGTTAAATCTAGAATCGGCTTCCTATTTCGCAACAAAGCCTCCTTCACTCATGCTGCCAAACATGCCCTCGTAAAACGGACTATCCTACCGATCCTTGACTTCGGCGATGTCATTTACAAAATAGCCTCCAACACTCTACTCAGCAAATTGGATGTAGTCTATCACAGTGCCATCCGTTTTGTCTCCAAAGCCCCATACGCTACCCACCACTGTGACCTGTACGCTCTTGTTGGCTGGTCCTCACTACATGTTCGTCGTCAAACCCACTGGCTCCAGGCCATCTATAAATCACTGCTAGGCAAATCCCCGCCTTATCTTAGCTCATTGGTCACCATAGCAGCACCCACCCATAGTCTGCGCTCCAGCAGGTACAGTGCCCTCCACTATTATTGGCACCCCTGTTTAAGATGTGGTCGAGGACTTCCAAAAATTCTCATTTTTTTTTAAACAACATAGAACCCAAATGCAAAAAAAGAGAAAAATCCAACCTTTTATTTAAGTACATTACTTTGGTGGTAAAAAAAAAAATCACACATTTAGAAAAGAAAAACTTGAAATCATGTGTCCCACAATTATTGGCACCCCTAACAATTCCGCTGAAAATTTTAATTGATTTTTTTAAAAATATATTTTTCTGTAGTTGCTAAAGTTGGTCAGGGTATCTAATTAATTTAATTAGTAATTCATGACTTCCTGTTTCCCTGGGGTATAAATATGACGTGACACAGAGGCCTAATTCTCTTACCCATTTGTCAACATGGCAAAGACAAGAGAACACACCATTCAAGTAAGGCAGATTTGTGTCGACCTTCATAAGTCAGGCAATGGCTACAAGAAAATAGCCACTCGCCTTAACTTGCCCGTATCTACAGTCAGAGGAATCATTAAGAAGTTTAAAACAACTGGAACAGTGACAAACAAGGCTGGAAGAGGTCCCATGTTTATCTTGCCAAAACGCACAGTGAGGAGGATGGTAAGAGAAGTAAAAAAAAAGTCCTAAGCTCACTGTCACAGAATTGCATCAAAGAGTGGCATCTTGGGGTCACAAAGTCTCCAAAATAACCATCAGACGCTCTCTACATGCCAACAAGCTGTTTGGGAGGCATGCAAGGAAAAAGCCTTTTCTCACTAACACTCACAAACGTAAACGTCTGGAGTTTGCTAAGCGGCACTGGGACTTCAACTGGGATCGTGTGCTTTGGTCAGATGAGACTAAGATTGAGCTTTTTGGCAACAAACACTCTAAGTGGGTCTGGCGTAAAACAAAAGATGAGTATGCCGAAAAGCACCTCATGCCCACCGTGAAGTATGGTGGAGGATCTGTGATGCTGTGGGCCTGTTTCTCTTCCAAAGGCCCTGGGAACCTTGTTAGGGTGCATGGCATTATGAACGCTTTGAACTACCAGGACATTTTAAATAAAAACCTGATGGCCTCTGCCAGAAAGCTGAAGATGGGTCGTCATTGGGTCTTTCAGCAGGATAATGATCCAAAGCATGTGGCAAAATCTACACAAAAATGGTTCAGCAGTCACAATCTCAAGGTCCTCCCATGGCCATCTCAGTCCCCAGACCTCAACCCAATCGAAAACCTGTGGGGCGAGCTAAAGAGGAGAGTGCATAAGAGAGGACCCAGGACACTGGATGATCTAGAAAGATTGTGCAAAGAAGAATGGTCAAAGATCCCTCTCTCTGTGTTCTCCAATCTTGTGAAATGTTATAGGAGGAGATTAAGTGCTGTATTGTTGGCAAAAGGGGGTTGTACAAAGTATTAACATCAGGGGTGCCAATAATTGTGGGACACATGATTTCAAGTTTTTTTTTTTTTATGTGTGATTTTCTTTTTTTATGTGTGATTTTTTTTTTTACACCAAAGTAATGTATTTAAATAAAAGGTTGGATTTTTCTCTTTTTTTGCATTTGGGTTCTATGTTGTTTAAAAAAAAAATGAGAATTTTTGGAAGTCCTCGACCACATCTTAAACAGGGGTGCCAATAATTGTGGAGGGCACTGTATATCTCACTGGTCATTCCCAAAGCCAACACCTCCTTTGGCCGCCATTCCTTCCAGTTCTCTGCTGCCAATGACTGGAACGAATTGCAAAAATCTCTGAAGCTGGAGACTCTTATCTCCCTCACTAACTTTAAGCATCAGTTGTCAGAGCACCTTACCGATCACTGCACCTGTACACAGCCCATCTGAAATTAGCCCACCCAACTACCTCATCCCTATATTGTTATTTATTTTGCTCTTTTGCACCCCAGTATCTCTATTTGCACATAATCTCTTGCACATCTAGCATTCCAGTGTTAACACTATTGTAATTATTTTGCACTATAGCCTATTTATTGCCTTACCTCCATAACTTGCTACATTTGCACACACTGTATATATATTTTCTGTTGTATTTTTGACTTTATGTTTTTTACCCCATATGTAACTCTGTGTTGTTTTTATCGCACTGCTTTGCTTTATCTTGGCCAGGTCGCAGTTGTAAATGAGAACTTGTTCTCAACTGGCTTACCTGGTTAAATAAAGGTGAAATAAAAAAAATATATAAAAAAAAATGTGTTGCACACGCAATGCATGAGTGTCCGGTAAATTTTTGAAATGGCCGATAAATTAAAATCTTCCCGGTCCCGTTGTCTGGCGCCACATGTTACTAACGGAAACCCTGGACCACACCATTCCAACACAGAAAAGCTGCTTTTTAAGGTACTTAATAAATAAAAATAGGAAGGAAAACTATTTCATTTATATTGTAATTAATTATAGGTTATATTTCATAGAAATCTGGAAACACTGGACAGTTACTTTAAATAACCTATGTTGCGTACAGTGTGAGTGTCATTCTAATTCCGTCAATTTAACGAACTGCCGTCTGTGGGAAAAGGGCTGGGGATATTGGCTTAGAACTGCTTGCGATGCCCCTTTATACTATTCCAAGTATACCAAACATTAGGAACACCTTCCTAATATTGAGTTGCACCCCCCCCCCCCCATTTGCCCTCAGAACAGCCTCAATTTGTCAGGGCTTGGACTCCACAAGGTGTCGAAAGCGTTCCACCGGGATGCTGGCCCATATTGACTCCAATGCTTCCCACAGTTGTGTCAAGTTGGCTGGATGTCTTTTGGGTGGAAAAACCCAGATGCGTTGCAGTTCTTGACACAAACCGGTGCGCCTGGCATACCATACCCCGTTCAAAGACACTTAAATATTTTGTCTTGCCCATTCACCTTCTGAATGGCACACATACACAATCCATGTCTCAATTGTCTCAAGGCTTAAAAGTACTTCTTTAACTTGTCTCGTCCCCTTCATCTACACTGATTGAAGTGGATTTAACAAGTGACATCAATAAGGGATCATAGCATTCACCTGGTCAGTATGTTATGGAAAGAGCAGGTGTTCTTAATGTTTGGTATACTCAGTATATGTGTATGTGAATATAATGAGAGATGCAAATTGTGTAAAATTGCATTCGAATGTAAAAGGATTTAGCTGCCTACTAGACAAGTTCTTGTTAACTGTGTCTACGCAGCATTTTCACTAATTGACACCACAAGTTCCTGGCTCATTTTATCAGTGTAATGCAGTGATAATAAACCCTACATCTTTAGTACATCATACAGATACATTTTGTTGATTTGAGAACTTTAGCTTAGAAATGTGTGTGTTGTTAACATTTGTTAGTTAAAGACCGCTTTCAACACAGCAGCTGAGCCAGTCCTGACATATTGAAGTTCTTCAGTCACTCTTCCTGTTTGAATTGATGTCTCTGGGATATTTAGATATTGTCAACGTGATACGATACGATATATCGTCATAAATAACATCCCGATATTTAACTGTATTGAGTTTCTTCCCCCCATCCCTAGTCTATTATTGGTCTAGTTTGGCTCGCCATTCTTCTGAACAGGCCAGGGGGAAATGTTCTCTCTGACAGGTAGAGATCGATACAGTCAGTTGAATCAGCGAGTTTCAGCCATTCATCTTCCTGTCGCTCTCTGTTTCCTGACCTGTTTTCTCTCTTTTCTCTTCTCTTCCTTCCTTTCCTCTCCTCTTTAGGTTGAGTATAACCTTCTGTAACTCTCCTCTTTAGGTTGAGTATAACCTTCTGTAACTCTCCTCTTTAGGTTGAATATAACCTTCTGTAACTATCCTCTTTAGGTTGAATATAACCTTCTGTAACTCTCCTCTTTAGGTTAAATATAACCTTCTGTAACTCTCCTCTTTAGGTTGAATATAACCTTCTGTAACTCTCCTCTTTAGGTTGAATATAACCTTCTGTAACTCTCCTCTTTAGGTTGAATGTAACTCTCCTCTTTAGGTTGAATATAACCTTCTGTAACTATCCTCTTTAGGTTGAATATAACCTTCTGTAACTCTCCTCTTTAGGTTGAATATAACCTTCTGTAACTATCCTCTTTAGGTTGAATATAACCTTCTGTAACTATCCTCTTTAGGTTGAATATAACCTTCTGTAACTCTCCTCTTTAGGTTGAATATAACCTTCTGTAACTATCCTCTTTAGGTTGAATATAACCTTCTGTAACTCTCCTCTTTAGGTTGAATATAACCTTTGTTAACTCTCCTCTGCAGGTTGAATATAACATTATGTAACTATCCTCTTTAGGTTGAATATAACCTTCTGTAACTATCCTCTTTAGGTTGAATGTAACCTTTGTTAACTCTCCTCTGCAGGTTGAGTATAACCTTCTGTAACTATCCTCTTTAGGTTGAATATAACCTTCTGTAACTCTCCTCTTTAGGTTGAATATAACCTTTGTTAACTCTCCTCTGCAGGTTGAATATAACATTATGTAACTATCCTCTTTAGGTTGAATATAACCTTCTGTAACTCTCCTCTTTAGGTTGAATATAACCTTCGTTAACTCTCCTCTGCAGGTTGAATATAACCTTCTGTAACTCTCCTCTGCAGGTTGAATGTAATCTTCAGCAGATTTGATGAAGTCCAAAGATCTGGGAACATGATCCCATCCTCAGGTTCAGGTGAGTGATGCAGCTGCTGCTTCTGGACCCCTGTTCTGTTGATTCATGGTTATTACCATGGCTTCTCGGGGTGGTTGTGTCTGTCTATGTTTGCTTCCTGTGTTCCTCTCTCTTTCCTGTTCCTGTGTATTTTGTATGCACTTCTAGTTTCTGGAACCTTTGAAGGATTCCAAATACGGTCTTATTGACTGATGTTGACTAAGCTGAAAGTCGTTTTTCATGAAGCTATAGGGCTCTGTAGTGATGGCTATGAGGAGATCTACCCCATCTTACACACGACTTTGTGTCTCTCTAGGCAGGATATTTAGGCACATTTCTATTTGGGGCAAGGGAATTAAACACAACACAACTGGAGCTCATTCTTTACATTTCTCTTTCTCTTTTTAAGTTGAGGCTTTTTTCTACCAAAAGCAGGCAGTGATATGGCAAAACAAGACAGTAATAGTCTCTAATGTGCTTTTGTACAGATATTGCACCACTTCTGTTAGTTTGTTGTTGTTGTTTTCTCATCTGTGTGAGAGAACTAGGCCAGCAACTATGCTTAGAAAATGAGTTCCTCTCTCCCACGTTTGTATTCTCACTCACTCCTCAATCTTTCCCCAGCTTTCTCTCTTCCCCCCCTCTCTCACCACTTGTTTTCCATCCTCTCCTTCCTCCCCACTTGCTGTTCGCACCATTGTGGCCTGGCTGTCTCCTGCCCATGTTAGGTCCACTCTCCACAGCCATCATGCCAGTGTGTGGGTTAGTGTGTTGGCGAGAGGAGGCCTGAGGGCCAGGCGGACAGCCTGGGGCTTGAGTAGAGGAGTTTCCCCACAGGAGGGCAGCCTCCTCTGGGCCTCAGATGTCGCATTCCCTCAGTGTAGCCAAGCCAGATCCTATCAGCCTCACTGTAATCCCTTTGTGTGTGTGTGTGTGTGTGTGTGTGTGTGTGTGTGTGTGTGTGTGTGTGTGTGTGTGTGTGTGTGTGTGTGTGTGTGTGTGTGTGTGTGTGTGTGTGTGACTGTCCTTGTGTGTGTCTCAATGTGTGTTTCGTACAATTTCAGTGTTCACTGTCAGTGTGTAAGTGGAGCTGTGAGTTCTCTTTGCAGTGTCGTGGGCAATGGCTCGCTGACTCCATCACATTCTAGCTGACTGGGTATAGTGTTTGTTTGCAGGACAGGTAGAATGGCTGAGCTGAGGAGAACTGTGGAAACTGCTCAGCATTTAGGAACTGTTTTCCATGCCCTCTGTAACTTCTCCCTCAAGGACAATTACTATAGACTTTACTGAGAGAGACAACAGATCTATCATGGCAATCAAACCACCCTGAGAGGTAGCACAGTAAATATATTCTATTTAAGTTAACCATAACTTTTCTGTTTTATTGTGCATCATAGCATTAACAACCCACTCTGTCTGCTTTTGCTCAATGTTGATCAGAGTCCAACTGTTCAAAGGGAGGAAACAGCTCTCTCTGTGTAAGGGCTTTGTTGCTTCCACCCCCTCACTATTTAAACTCATATTTCCAGATTACGTTCAGGCTCACATGGTTTTGATGATGTTTTCATTGGAAAGGGAAAAGTAATAGATGATTCATTACATGACAGTTATTAAACTATTCATTATGCACTTGGCGCTGCCGTTTTGTTCTCCCCTAACGCTTCAACTCAAATTAGGCGATGACTAAGATTGCCCCCTTAGCTTGCAACAAGGAGCTCCGCTCTCGACTCTGAGGGAAATAGTTTCTGTGTGTACATAAACAGCAGAGGACAGGAGTGCAGTCAACAGAACACAACATGGTAATGAGGGCCTTTCATTGTAGAGACATGGGTCATATTCATTAGGCACCAAACAGACTGAAACCGGGAGGGACTACCTGAACTTGACCAATAAGAAATGCTTGTTGTTGCAAAACATTTTACTACAATGTGTTCTAATGAATACTACCCTGGCCCTTTGCTGTGCAGAGTTGTGTGGGCCCGCTAGCCGTTGCCTGGAGACACAGATTGGGGTCAAAATGCTCTCTGCTAGTCGGTGAAGTGAAGGAGTAGCTGTTCCTTTCCTTCTGACGAGATTAACCTCAGCCTCTCCTCAACAATCTGTATTACCCCAAAGGAACACAGTAGAAATGTCGCTAACGGGCTGAAACCAAAGGAAAAGGCATTGATTGTTTGTTAGGGTCATTATAAATAGTGTTCTGAATTGCAAGCCCTAACATTTGTCTCCCTCTCCCTAGGCCAGTTTGGTTAGAGCAAGGAGATAGACTGAGTACTTCTTCTACTGTCGGGAAGAAAACGTATACAGCATCTCCCTCCACAAGAGTACACTTCAGAAAATGATTGAATTTCATCTCTAACTGCAGTTGTAATCTGTATTCCCCAAAAGGGCATACATATGCTGCAAGTAGACCATGCTCCAGTTCAGTTGACGTGAAATAGGAGCATTAGCAGTTAATCATCCTGGGATAGAGATATGATGGAATATGATGTTGGACTGTCCTGACTCCTGAGGTGTCAGCACTGGACTTTCCTCCTGGAGAGGTGAAAGGTTGTGGTATGTAGGGTGCTTGGCTGCTGTCTGATTGTGGCTGTGAATCTCATAAAGACTTACTGTAGATGTCACATTTGCTGCAACATTGTGATTTGGCCTAAAGCTCCAGATTACTCTTGCAGAAGGCTTATAGGTACTGTTGAGATGATACACGTATGAGATAAAGATACAGACAGAGAAGCCATCCATTGACTCCGTTTGTGCTGCTTGTCTCACTGTATGTTCACCCTCAATGATGTCCCTTTGTTAAATCTCATGCCAAAGTTACATGGTAGGAGTAATGTTTTTCAGCTGAAAGCCCAAATGTTACTCCTCTGCAAAATGAGGGGGCCACTGCAGCCTGAGCCTCTTGTTCTGGAGAGGGAGAGGGATGCCAGCGGTATCGGGTGCAGTAGTCACAAGACTAGAACTGGAGGAAGGAAAGGGAAGGGAGGGAGGGGATGGAGAGAGGAGAACAGGGAGAGAGAGAGAGGCACATGCAGACGTAAAGCAACATTCTCCCTGCCTGTTCACTCACTCTCTTCTCTTCTCTCTGCTCTGCGTGGAAGGAAGGCTTTGCACTATGACAACCGGGGAAGGTAAGAGCATGAATGGAATGGACTCTTTAATGTGAAGGGCAGAACACACAGGACTCAGGGGCTCAGAGGCTAATGGTTGTAGCACTCTTCTTTCTCTCTCTTCTCTCTCTCTCGCCTGGCCTATTTAGAGGTGCTACAGGGGGGGGGGGGGGGGGGGGGGGCATAGGGCAGGCAGGCAGGCAGTGTTTTGCAAGGGAGAGAATCATATGAACCCTTTCATGATTTTTCTACTTAATTTGTATCTTTCTTGTAAGACAATGTACCAATTTCAGATTGTAGGCGCAGTTCATATTGCCCAGACAGTGAACAGTGGGTTGTTGTATTCCAACACTCTTAATAGAGAAGGATTGTTGTTGTTTACTATGTGATTCATTCTGACTCTGGGAGTTGTTATTATGATAAAACAGACCACTGTTTTGGTGTGTAGTTTATATAGCCTATATCACACTGCTAACATTTCAAACATTAAACATTGTATTTCACGCCTCTTTGCCTCCCTGCAGTTTAATGTGAGAAATGTTTCGCCCCCTCAGCCTGCTGCTTAATGAGTCTGTTTTGGGTTCTACTGTTCTGATGATAAGATGCTGCGTGGTCGGTCACTGTTCGCTCAATCTCACTGTACCTGTGTCTAACTTCAGATCATCCTGTACAACAAGCAGTATTGAGGGCACTTTAAGTAAAACGTATTTGACTTAATAGCCTACCTAGGGTAAATATCTCTTATTGAGGTCTCCTCCAAGATGTCTCTCTCCCTCTTCACAACAGGAGGCTGCAGTGCCCCCAACACTTTGTGACGTCTGTGTCATTTTTTTTTGTTGCAGGACCATTTATAGAAGTCATATACATAATGCAGTGAGAGGACTGAAGGATGGCTCTCATAGGAGTGTTATTACTAACTCTGCCTAGGTGATGGGTCCTAGCCAAGTCACAGTGAATTATGCTGTAATTATAATGTGTCAGCTGGTGCTTTGGTTAGAAAGCATCTTTGTTGTGTTAAATCCTGGGGGTTCCATGGTACGTTAGCTCATGTTAAGACTGTTTATCTCCTACAAGGTCCTGTGGGTGTGTGTGGGTGTGGCATGGGTGCGTGCGTGTGTGTTATGTAAACACTGCATACTAGAGATGGCCTGCTTGTCTTTTCCATAAGGCTCGGCTCTGATGAAGCAGAAGAAAGGTTGTTACCTTCCCTTGATTTCACAGCTAAGACCATGTACCTGTTATAATAGGTTATGAGTCACACCTCACCTGCTACTGCTAGGCTCGTGGTGCCGACTGGGAGCGCAGTGTGTGAGCTGCCTTAAGTGGGTGTGGGTGTGTGTGTGGGTGGGTGTGTGTGTGTGTGTGTGTGTGTGTGTGTGGTGTGTGTGTGTATGTATGTGTGTAAGGTTCTTGAAAGGGACATTAAAGGAGAAGGGGGAGCGATGGTTAACACAGACCAGAGAGGGAATTCAGATTCAAAAGAAAGCCTTTTAATCACATCACACACTCAGTGGATCGCACGGTGCAAGCTGCGACACACACAATGGATGCTGCAGCTCTGTACAGCATAAAGAGATCATGGATGGTGGTGTGTGTTAAGGGCTCCACACAGTCAACGCAACGGATTCGATAGAGCTTAGTTTGTGTAGCTCTCTACGTACTTTTGTGCGGTGGAATTTTTGGAACGCGACGCAGACTGTGAAATCACTGTGGCGAGACCTTTGAAGAGAGTCTGTTAATGGCTGTACTGTTATGTAAACACTAGAGTTCGGTCAGTTTTGTGCTGGTCTGACGGTGTTGGACCCTGGTGCATTGACCTGCTCAGGTAAGATGGCCCACCCCTGTCTCTGTCTTTCCTCCCTGTGGTGACTGACGACGGCAGGTTGGATTTAGTGCTGTTTTCTGCTCTCTTA